TCCGATGGGGGTGGCGACTCGGGCTGCCACCAGCCTTCCCGGGCAGTTCTGGACCAACTCTTCTCGCCCTCCAACCAGAAGCCGGGGGGCTCTCTCCTCCCCCCATGCCCCTGGCTTCAAGTGCCAGGCGGCCGACACCAGCTCAGCGGCTCTTTCTGCAGACCCCCTGGAAGGGCGGTCTCGGGGGCGGCCGGCCTCAGGGATGCAGTCCCAACTGGCTTTTTAAAAAAAATAATATATTTTTATTGATTTCAGAGAGGAAGGGAGAGAGAGAAACAGCAATGATGAGAGGGAATCATGGATCGGCTGCCTCCTGCACGCCCCACACTGGAGATCGAGCCCGCACCCGGGGCCTGTGCCCTGACCGGGAATCGAACCCTGACCTCCTGGGTCTTAAGTCGACGCTCAATCACTGAGCCACACGTCCGGGCACCAACGGGCTTTTTGATGAAAGTGAGAGAGAGGCTCTGTCCCACCCGCTGCTTCGGGAGGGTCCTCCCCAAAACGCAGCCCACTCCTCAGACCCCACGCGGTGGGTGGGCAGAGCCGGGAGCCCACTGATTCCCCATGAGACCTGCGACCGGCCCTCCCGTCCTGGGCCTCGGCCTCCAGGAGCCCTTCCGGCCGCAGTCCCAGGAGACAGACCGCCGCTCCCTGCCCCGTCCTCCGGAGGCTCTGGGAGCGAGGCGGGCCCCGTGTGAAGACGTCAGCTGAGCCCACTCCCCACCTCGCTCCTGGCCGACCTGGGGGTCTCCCCGGGAGCCCCCTCTCAGCTCCCTCTCCCTGGCTGGGGAAGCGATGCCCGAGGCCACCTGGGGAAATGCCCCAACTCCCAGGCGCCCGCCGGGGTTGCAGCTCCTCACCCGGCACAGGCAGCGTCTCCTCCCCCACCTGCCGCCCTGCCCCCCGGGCTCTCTCTGCTCCTGGAACCCCAGGGTGGGGTGGCTCCCGTCTACCCAGGAGGATAAACCGAGACACCCCCCTCCCCGGCCTTCCTACAAGACCAGCCTGTGCGGGCAGTGACCATCCCTGAGCCACACAGTCAGGGATGCGGCGGCGTTGACAGCCGGAAGGGGCGGGTGCGGAGTTAGCGAAGACTGACTTGTTTTTTTCATATATTTTTATTGATTTCAGAGAGGGAGAGAGAGAGGGAGAGAAACATCCATGATGAGAGAGAATCATGGATCGGCTGCCTCCTGCATGCCCCCCACTGGGGATTAAGCCTGCAACCTGGGCATGTGCCCTGACCGGGAATCGAAACGTGACCTCCTAGTTCATAGGTCGATGCTCAACCACTGAGCCACACCAGCCGGGCAAGACTATTTTTAGCATTCTCGATTTTCCCCTCTTCTTCCTTTCTCCTCCTGCCTCAGTTCAGACACTCCAGACTTCCCAGAGTCCCCCCCGCCCCACCCCCGCCATATCTCCTCCCTTTGTGGAGCCCCACACCCTTGTTTCCGATGCATTAGTTTTGGGGGAGGAGTGGGGGGGGGGCCAGGAGGGGCGCTTCCTGTGCTGTCCTGTCCCGTTTTCCTCTGTCCTGCGCTGGGGCTGCCCTCTGTGCGGATTCAGAGGCCAGTGTGGAATGAGAAGCGCCACCCACGTGTGTTCCCTCGGCTCCGCTGGGGGGCCCTGGGCGGAGCGGAAAGCCAATAAACCCGACTTCAGCACAGCTCGCCGCGCCCGCATGCGCCGGGGACAGGCCAGCCCCACATCCCGGGAGGCAGCCACTTGCTATCCTGCCACCTGGGCCTGTGCAGTCTTGCTGTCCT